TAAAAATCAGTGTTTAGTGAAATCTTTTATAATTTGAAATTCAAATATGGCATGGGTTGTTTCATTTCTCTTTGTGGGCTTGGTCTTGGGCCATTTAGGTCATAGCATTTGGCCCAAACCTAAGCAGATAGTCTGCTTCTAGAAGTGGCAGCTGGCATTTTTCAGTTGGAAAAAGATTCCCTCCCCTCGGCTATTTTCCCTGAATTCACGCTGACATATTCCCTCTCCCAACAGACCTTCTCTGATTTTAGATAGCCTATATATACACCCTTCACATAGAGACGAAAGGAGGAGGGCATATTTTTGACTCAGCATTCCTCTAAAAATACACTCAAGAACACACACTGTTTTTTTAGATTAATCCTCTGAGAAAATCCAGAATTCTATTATGAAAAGTTGTTAAACTTCTCTTTAGAAATTCAGAGTTCATATTGATTCTGTGATGCTGTTGCTGTTACTGTTGCTGTTTTTGCTATTTTCTGCTGTATCTTGCTGATATTCTCTTCAATATTCAGAGATTTATTTTCTTTGTGTATTTTGGCTATCCTCAGGTATGTAGCTTGAGCATTTGTTCTTCTATTGGCTGTATACATAAAGCTCGGAAATGGTTGTTGGACCTCACATTGATGCATACGTTGTTTGTTTAAACTTCAGTTTCGGTTTTATTCTGTCCAGTCCTTGGTCGAATATGTAATGTTAAATATTTTGATTAAATTTTTGAGTTAGGGTAAGCTATTTAAATTTTGAGTTGTATTTTTGCTGTCACGGTATATGTTTGCGGTTTTTTTTTTATATAAAATGATTACTGCTGGATGTTCAAAGTGCTATAAAATCTGCATATACGTTTTCATTTCAGTACTTCGTCAGATGATTTTTGTTTGTTAACCATGTAGTTTGCAAGTTGATGTTAATTGCTTGATGAAGTGTATTTTTGGAGTATGTTGTATATCTCAGTAGCCTCCATGGAAATGAATAATCTTTATGATATATACTGAATGTAATTTTGGTGTAGTTGGACTAGTAATAATGTTGCAAGCATTTGATTAAGTTTGTAAAAGGAACTTCCTTTAAAATTGAGCTTAAAATCCAGCGTGTGTTCTTTTTGAGCCGATTTAGATTCGGCCCAGTTCACTTATTGAACCCATCACTGATCCTAATGCAAGGAAACTTTAATTGGGATAGTCACTTGTTGAGTGACTTTCTGTTATTTGTTAATTTGAATTGATCAAGAGATTAACTCTTATGAGAGACCCTAAGCTAGTAATGGAAATTACAATTCGGATTGTTTTCGTTTTAAACCCATGTTTCATTTAGCTTTTTAATTCGCATGGGTTATAACTGGACAGACATGGAATCGATATCGGTAAAATAATTACTTCCAATTCTTCCCTAATAGAACTTTGTTTAAATTAAAAAGAACTAGCTGAGTCCCACATGTATGTTACCATAATATTTGAACCTCACATGCAAATCTCAAACTTTAGGATAACAGAATTATAAACATTCGCAGTTTGCTTTAGGCGTGATTAATAAATTATCGTGACTATGGGTACGGTTCCCGTGACATAGTTATGATATGTAACCCCAATTCGAGTGTGCGTTTCACGTGACTCGACCACAACTTCAAACAATAATAAAAATAAGCATGTCGTAAATCGCGGGTACATTTCATGTGGCGCAGTTTGCAACGTGTGCCAAAATGACAAGTGTACGACATCGTGACTTGTTCCAAAAATAATTTCATAAATAATTAAAAGCGGTTAGAAGATAAATAATGTACCGTAAGTTTTCAAATATGTATTAAATCAGATAATTAGGCCAATTATTACAGTTGAGCGACCATGCTAAAATCACAGAATTCGGGAGTGCCTCACACCTTCTCCCGGGTTAACAGAATTCCTTACACGATCTTCTGTGTTCGCGGACCATAAACAGAGTCAATTTCCTCGATTTGGGATTTAAAATAAACCGGTAACTTGGGACACCATAAATTATTTCAAGTGGCGACTCTGAACTAAATAAATAATCTCATTTCGATTAATATCACTTTAATTGGAAAACTCCTCTATCCCCTATCGCCCTCGGGAAAAAAAAGGAGGTGTGACACAGATGTATCACCAATACGAACAAGACCAATAGATGGCTCATTCACTTGGCCTTTTTTTTCAACATACCGCAAAGCAAGGGCCATTTGTTCATGGTGTGAAATATCCTTGGACTCATCAACTAATATCCCAAAATAATTCCCTCCCAAGTCATCAATTATAGCTTTCATAGTTTCTTGTGCACAAGCACTAACAATATCCTTTTTAATTTTTGGTGAAGTCATCATATCATTTTTTGGAGCATGTTTTAATATAACTCTATCCACATTTGGAAGCCTCTTTGCAAGCCATTACAATAGCCCTAGAAAAATGCCTTTATTTTTAGAAGATTCACTTTCATCATGACCTCGAAAAGACAATCCAAATTCCAAGAGGAACCTTGCAACATCAATTGAGGTATTTAAATGAATTCGGTGATCACTTCTTTGTTTCTCGGATTGCTTGTTAAAAGCAACTTGAATTGATTGAGATTGATTAGACAAGTCTAGCATATTATTGAAACACTTATGGTAGAGATTATTTACTTCACCAACATGTAAAACAAGTCTTTTCGAAGCTTTATTCCAAGCCCTAAAGCCAGTTTTTGTGAAAGAGTCACCTGTGCATCCATGGACATAATCATTCTTTAATAAATAGCAACATAAACAAAATGCCGCATCTTTCTTCACACTATACTCCAACCATCTAGAGTTTGAATCTTTAAACCAACTTGAACTAAATTGACGCATTTTCTTTCCGAATAAAATTTTAGGAAATTTGTAATCAATCGGTTGGCAAGGCCCTTTTTTAATGTAGTATTTTCTCACTTCATCTTGTATTCTAATGCTATATTTATCAATGGGTATTTTCTCTCCGGGGTCGAGATTTAGTGATTTCACATCAAATTCATCGACTAGACGGAAAGAATTCTCTCTAAAACTAGAACTTGGTTGAGAAGAATTAAACCTCATCAAAAATACGTCCATCTCAAGTTACAAGAACAAGAACTTCCTACAAAACAATGATTCAATTCAATTTAAGTGTCCATCAAGAATAAAAGCAAATTTTCATTAGGGGAATCACACCCCTTCTATCAAGAACAACACTAAGAGAATATAATATGGGAATCACTCAATCACACCCCTTCTATCAAGAAAAAGGAAACATAACATTTAAAATAGAGAAATTACACCCTTTAAAATAGGAACACTTATCAATTTGTGAAATTTTTTATCCTTGAAGTGAAAAGGCTTTTAGTTCAGCAAAACATAATATAATTGATCTTGTCTTGTAATATGCAAACCCTGCAAAAATATTAAAGTTATACTACGACACTTTGTGAATAAAAAATTTCTCATATTCAAGTTAAAATAAAGACTTAGTGCTTAGTATAACTACTATGAGAACAAGTATTAATTAAATTAAACAAGCTCGAAATTTCACTCTTGTCTATAAAAAAATGCCCTAATTCAAAGTTTTTGTTTGAAAAGAAACACTTCACTGAAAGAATATTTCAAAATAACACTAGCACATAATATTCAAATACCTACAAAATTAATTATGCATTTACTTTTTGGCTCTAAGACTCTTTGTAGAAAGCAAATTTTTTATACCAAATTATTTTGCTAAGTTAATATTTTCAAAAGAAAACAAAACTTACTCAAATAAAATCAAGATTTTACTCAAATAAAATTAATATTTTACTCAAATAAACTTACTATTTCAGTTGAATAAGAGCCTCAAACCCAGTAGCCGCTGCCGATTCGAGCTCGAGCAGAAGCGAAATAGGGTTAATTGAAAAAAGGATTTTGTTTTTTAGCAGAAAGGTGTAGCGATTTGTTTGGAGAAAAGATGTGCGCTTTGTTCTTTAGTTTGGAAAAGCATAAAAGTTAAGACTTTAGGTTATAGGGTTAATTGAAAAAAAAGTTTTGTTTTTTAGCAAAAGGGTGGAGCGGTCTGGTTGGAGAAGAGGAGTGAGTTTTGTTCTTTAGTTTGAAAAAAGATAAAAATTAAGACTTTAGGCTGACTATTGTGTATTTGTGTACAACAGTACAAGTATTAAAGAATTAAAAAAAAAATAAAAAACAGAAGAAGTGCAGAAGTCAGTTTCAAACTTGGAACTTTCAAGTAACTAAAGTGTTTGAGCAGGTTATAAAACCAACGCGCCTAACTTGCTTTTGTTTATTGAGGGGGCCAGATAAATTATTTAAGGGGTCCCCAATGTATATATAAATATATATAAAATATATTTATAGTATTTTTCCCGAGACTAACAGGTTCCGATGACCCCCTAATCCTAAGGTAGGTCCGTCTCTGAATAGATGTATAAGAAATACAAAAAATATCATAAAGTTACACATTAAATAATATTTGGGAGTTATGAACATAATTAATAGAGGATTTATTGGGGGAGAGAAAAAGTTTGAAAGAGACAATAATTAGATATTAAGATATCTAATAAAGAAACGGTTATTGTAGTCTTACAGAGATTTTGGGCTACTAAAAATAAGATAAATGGAAAAATGAGGGGGGAAACTCAAAAAAAAGAAGGAAAAAAATTAACTTTAATAAGTTTATTGGTTAAAGATAGGTACCAACTCACATTTCTATTTCGCACAATAATATTTATATATATATATATAGATATAAATTACTTTTGTATTCGCTAAAAACACGTGTACCGCGAAGTTTGTAACCTATACAGCATATTGCACAACTATTTCAGTATAACATAAAATATTTCAAGAATAACTATAGCAGAAAATCATCATTTTAATGTTAAATATTAATTACTTTATATGAATATGAAGTAAAAGCCGTATTAGTTAGAAAATAAAATATTTCAATGGATAAATGAATAACTTTTGAAGAGAATGCCTTGCAAAAATTAATTAAATAAAAAAATACAGGAGAGGCAGAAACACTATTGACTTCTAACGTTGAGTGTACCTCACCCGCCCCATATTTTGGGATTAGGGTTAGGGATTTTCAGATCTGAAAACAACCAAAAGTCAACAAGTTCATTCCTTTCAAAGTTCCCCATATATATATTCACAAGTCAGGGTTTTTGAATTAGGGTTTATTTTGTGTTTGAGTGAAGTGCTTTGGGTGTACAAGAGGGTAATTTTGAGCTGCCAATGCAATTTGATTTGAATTTGGGAGATTTTTCGGTTATTTTTGGGCCACCGAAAAACCTGCACAACAATGTCTTGGGCAAGTCCAGAAGATATCTATACCTCTACTTCTCTTGCTAGCTATCTTGATAGTGAGTTCCTTTGTCTTCTCATACTTCATTATGTTCTTAGTTTTTTTCTTTCCTCTAATAAAATTGGGCCTTAATTGGAGTGAAACGGGTTCCAAATAGAGCAGAATGAATATAGGCGATTCATATAGCAAAATGGAACTGCTGGGGTTGAGAATTAATTGATTGAAGTTTGAGGCTAATAATATGTTCCAGTCAGTTTAAATTTTAAAAAAAAATTTCGATCTTGGTTTAATTGTCAGAATGGGTGTGTTCTTACTTAGTTGTGGTACTGGTTATTGGATCTTTAGTGATAGTTTTGATGCATTTTTGGAGGATCTGTCAATGGGTCTTTAATCTGATAAAATTCTCCTGATGCAAGCTCGGTTTTCTGAATTAGAATTCCGTTGAGATTATATGATGAGAAAGGCATATTTTTGGTCAAATTTGCTGGTATAATTACCTGTTTATATATTGTCAATTGAAAGAAATAGCTTTACCAGAATAAGTGTGATTGACTTGAACTCGAATAACACATTTATTATCACTTTCCATTAGCTTAGCTCATAATTTAATGCTAGAATTCTGATAAAAATACCTTCTTTAATGGAAAAACTTAATACCCAGAAAATGTTAAAAGAGTAAATGTTTCCTCTGCTTAAAAGAATCAAAAGGGACGATGAGATACCTTGGAAACTCATCTTGAAGGTCTTTTTATTTCTTAAAAAATAGAAGAAATACCTTGGAAACTCCTCTTAAAGGTAGAATATATCTCTTCTAGGATTTCAGTGTCAGACTCTTTATTGGAGAGGGGGAGATGTAGTTTTTTAATATAAACGGTATAAGGATGTAGCTTAAAAAAGATTCACTACCTTCGAAAATGCTGCCTGGTGTGTGTCGGATCCTCTAGAAGTTATTCATTTCTTGGAGGATCCGACATGGGTGTAGCGATACTTTAGAGGATCCGAGCAACAGAGATCCTAGCATTTGTCTGTTCTTGAATGTTGGAGAACTGATTATCCTGTTAATTTCGAGGGTGGCTAGAATTTGACTAGGGTAGAGAAAAGTAGCAGTAAAGGAAATCATCAATTGACAGATATTTCTATATGCGGTCCCGAGTCTTTCTGTATGAAGCATTGACGTCTAAACTGTTGCTGTATATCATAGTGATCTAGCTCGGTGGACTTTATTCTTCCCCCTCTGATAACAACAAAATCGGGAATCCAAACTAGAGTAAGAATTTGGAGAAGTAAATGCGGAAGCAATAACAATAAGGATTTGAACAACTAGAATTGAAGTGCAGAAAATAAAGGATATGGTAAAATTCACGGAAATAATTCCAAGAACTTCCAAGAACGCAAGTTCTATAGCCTTAACAAGATTCAAGCAACAACGTTTTGATTTATTGAAGAAATCAAACGCCTTTACTTAAAAACAAATCAAATCAATAGATTCGGATCTTGACCGCTTTATGAGCAACTTGAGATAACTTAATAACTAGTATTAATCGCCTTCTAAGAATACCACAAAGTAATCAATGCTATCACAATAAAGAAGTTATCTTACTACCTTGAACTATAAACTAGTAAAGGTTGAAAGATAAATCTCAAAGCATAAGTAACAAAGGTTCAAAAGAATTCTCAAAGTATAATATTCTTAATCAATAATGAAGTGCCACAATAAATGAAACGAACTCCTATTTATATGAGTAAAAAGTCCTTAGAATTAGTTAGGGTGGCTGCCAAGACAAACTTTAATATGAAGGCTAAGCTAAATACTAGAAAACATAATACAAACTAATAAAAATAAGAGTGGACGTCCAAATTCCTTTGGGGAAGATTTTGGCCTTAAAACTACTAGTTTGAGCCATTGGTTTGGACTCCAATTGGGCTCCTTTTGAAACACCCCCTTATGGACCTCTTTTAAGCTCTTCTGGGTGCCCTTTTGGTGGACTTCACGGGCTGATATTGTAACCCAATCTTCCCCATCTTGGACTTCAATTTGGGCCACCAAATAATTATAAGACTTGGACAATTCATTTCCTTTGGGCTTGAGCTCTTCCTCTACAATTAAAAACTTCTTTATTTTCCATTGAAGTCCAACAACCTTAGTCTGCAATTTTTTAGCTTGAGATCTAGTAAATGACCTTTTTGGAGCTTCCAAAACTCTATCTTGTTTTTGATGCTATCATTCCCCTCTTCTTAAAAAGAATTCGTCCCCGAATTCGATCCTACATCAAACAAACAAGTCAGCAACATTGAATGTAGCACTTACTTGAAACTCACCAGGAAGGTCCAGCTTGTAAGCATTGTCTCCAATCCTTTAAGGACTTGAAATGGGCCATCTCCTATAGGATGCAACTTTGAGTTCCTTTTGGAAGGAAATCTCTCCTTTCTAGAGTGAACCCAAACTAAATCTCCAGGTTTAAAAATAACTTGTTTTCGAGCCTTATTCTTTCTCAAGGCAATTTGCTCATTTTTCTTCTTAATTGCAAGCCTTGTTTGCTCATGAAATTTTTTCATCATCTCAGCTTTTGTCGTACCATCAAGATTAGCAATATCATTAGTAGGTAATGGTAATAAATCAAGGGGAGTAAGGGGATTAAAACCATAAACAACCTCAAAAGGAGACATATCTGTAGAAGAATGGATTGTTCTATTGTAAGCAAATTCAATCATAGGTAAGTGATTTTCCCAAGAAGTTAATTTACCTTTCAAAACAAGCCCTCAACATGTTTCCTAAGGTTCCATTAACTACTCACTTTGTCCATCAGTTTGTAGGTGACAAGAAGTAGAAAACAACAATTTAGTGCCTAACTTCCCCTAAAATATACGCCAAAAGTGGCTCAAAAACTTAGCATCCCTATCACTAACAATAGTTCTAGGTATACCATGCAATTTAACAACTTTTACAAATAGATCAACAACATGTAAAACATCATTAGTCTTTAAACAAGGAATAAAACGAGCCATTTTGGAGAACCTATCTACCACAACAAATATACTATCCTTACCATACCTTGTTCTAGGCAAACCTAACACAAAATTCATATAAATATCAATCCAAGGTGAAGTAGGAACAAGTAATAGCGTGTAAAGACCATGTGGTAACACCTTAGATTTAGCTTGTTTACATTCCAAACACTGTGCACACATTTTTCAACATCTTTTCTCATTCTAGGCCAAAAGAAATTTTCAGCAAGTATGTCTAGTGTCTTTTGACAAGAGGGGTTGCTCTGATGGTAAGCAACTTCCAGTTCCAACCAAGAGGTTGTGAGTTCGAGTCACCCCAAGAGTAAGGTGGGGAGTTCTTGGAGGGAAGGATGCCGAGGGTCTATTGGAAATAGCCTCTCTACCTCATGGTAGGGGTAAGCTCTGCGTACACACTACCCTCCCCAGACCCCACTAGTGGGATTATACTGGGTTGTTGTTGTTGTTGTTATGTCTAGTGTCTTTGGGACTCCAAAGTGACCCATAAGCCCTCCACAATGTGCTTCCCTTACAAATACTTCGCTTAAAGAGCAATTAGGGATACACAACTTATTTTCCTTAAAGAGAAACCCATTTTGAAGATTAAACCTCTCAAAAGGACCCAATTACAGATACACAACTTACTGTGATTGCGAAGTAGAAGCCTGGGCAGTTATGGTTAAACAAGATACAACTGGATCACAATTACAATGTACTATTTGCAGCAGTGCCGAAATATTACAACGTGGTCGCACACATGACTGGATACTTTGGCAAACCTCATGCTTTACAAGAGTTGGGAATGCTATAATGTTCAGTGTACGTACCAGTTGCGTTGTCTTTGCAATGTTTAGTACCTAGGTCGATTTGTGATGTCAATTTTGAGTGATATTTACTCAAAGTTGACAATAAGTGTTATGTATTTATCATTTTCTATTTCCGTACTCTTTGTAATAATTTATGGTACTTTGTTCGTTATATATATATAAAAACTACTTCTAGGCTCAGCGCCTATTGGATTTGCCAAAAAAAAAAAAATTACAATCTGCAAAAATCTTGCCAAAATCAACATCATCAGCATAAAGTCCCTTGATTTGATCAAAACCCATCAATTTAGAAGTCAGAGTAGAGACTAAGACATACCTTCTTGAAAGTGCATCAGCAACGACATTCTCTTTCCCTTGTTTGTACGAAATTACATAAGGAAAAGTTTCAATGAATTCAACCCACTTAGCATGCCTCCTACTCTTCTTACCTTGACTCTTCAAGTATTTCAAGGATTCGTGGTCAGTTTTAATGACAAACTCTCTTGGCCACAAGTAATGTTGGCATGTGGCTAAAGCCCTTACCAAAACATATAACTCTTTGTCATAAGTGGAATAGTTCAATGTGGCTCCACTCAACTTCTCACTAAAGTAGGCAATAAGTTTAGAATCTTGCATCAGAACAACACCTATTCCTTTGCCAGAATTATCACATTCAATTTCAAAAAATTTGGAAAAATCAGGCAATTGTAACAATGGAGCAGAACATAACTTTTCTTTCAACAAGTTAAAAACATCTATCTTGTTCTTTTCCCATGTAAAAATCTTATCCTTTTTAATAATTTTAGTTAAAGGAGAAGCAATGGTGCTAAAGTCTCTCACAAACCTCCTATTAAAACTAGCAAGTCCATGAAATCTCCTAACTTCAGTTACACTTTTGGTTTAGGCCATTCTTTTATTGCTTTGATTTTCTCTTCATCAACCTCAATTCCTTTAGAACTAACTACAAAACCCAAGAAAATCACGTGATCCACACAAAAAGTACACTCTTTAAGATTAGCAAATAAAAGTTGCTTTCTAAGAACTTCAAAAACTTGTTTTAAGTGTTCTACATGCTCTTCTAAAGTGTTAGAAAAGATCAAGATATCATCAAAGTACACCACTATAAATTTTTCATGAAAATCCTTAAAGATATGATTCATTAATCTCATAAAAGTGCTAGGTGCAATAGTCAAGCCAAAAAGCATAGCTAACAATTCATGAAGCCCATATTTGGTCTTAAAAACAGTTT